TCTCCAAGCAAATGTAATTTGCGGCCATTGTCTTTTAATTGGTGAAAAGCTCATCCTCCATAAACCTAACCTCCGTCTCAATGTGCTAGAGAGCGAGCAATACCTACGTCAGCTGATTGCAGATTAGAAGGAAGTACTGGTACTCCCAGGAAGTATGGATTAACGAATGTGCCTGATTCGCTGCGGTTAAAGCCTGTCATGAGTCCAGAGGCAAGAGTGACTGCAGTTTGCAGAGTGTCTGATGTCTTTCAAGACACACAACTTTTTGAACATGAGCCATCTTAATTTTAATATCCAACAACGGCACGGCAAATATCATACCCTCTTACTTCTCAACAGTAGATGATAGCTAAGTACATATGACTGTTCCTGTACTCGATATGTACATATAGCTTCCAAGATCTGCTTCACTTCACCTTCGTCGATCTACATTAATGAGTTTTGTGCAGACGGCTGTCCTAAATGAATTCCAAACGCGCTACCATGAACTGGCACGATCGTATACGAACTGGTAGCGTTTTTTCCCAGCCATATTACCCGTGGGTAAAACGTGAATCAAGGGATGCAATGCGCCATAATTTATTAACAGTGACTTTAGAAACGCAATTTCCACTTGTCAATCAATTGCTCCTTAAGGGGGGGGATGTCATATGGTGCATCGACAATGTAGGGACGAAGGGATTTCTTCTACTCTGAGAAAAGAATCACGCCTAAGCAATGAACTCAGCTGAACCTTATCAGACAGAAAGTTTCTCGCCACGGATGCCATGTTGGCCAACTGCTGAACAACATTTCAAGTACTGACGTAGATGCAGAAGCTTCCAGCAAGCCTTGCGTCATATGCGATGTAAAGCACTGCCCCCTCACCCAATCGAGCCATCACAATTATGAGAACACAATCATTCTTACAAATGCTCCCTGGCCTTGGAAGCAGGCAGATGAATATGAATGCCTAATGCATGCACCTTTACTCTGTTGCCCAAGTCACCAAACTTTGTTACATGTTCTCCAGGCGTAGGAAATAGACTTTACCAATTGGCGGCTTGTAGGTGTGTGTGCCATCGTCATCTTTGCAGCCTTGTAAACTTGCAAGTTACCTGAGACTCGTGGTATCCCCTCAATTAGGTGGCTTAAACATGCAATACCTCTGTCAGAGTCAAAGCCTCTCTCTCAAAGCTCAGAAACAAAATGAAATGCTACCACCAAGGCGTCGAACATTACAAGTCATCGAACAGGTCGACTGCTCTAATTGCGTTGGTTCGACCATCTTCTGTGAGGTAAGTGAAAGTGGAAAGAGGAAGATTTGCTCTTAACGTTGAATCCAAGAGCTAAAACAAAATTTTGCCGTCGTACATCGACTCCGCGCGTGGAAGCAAGACATCTGCACAAACGATATACATGCGACATGAAGATCGATGAGGAAGTAAGGAGGTTTACTGAGTATACGAGAAGCAATGCAGCCCCCCCC